TGAATTTCTTTTATGTGACACACAAAAAAAAACTTCAATTTTTTTAGGACGTCGTTAAAAGAATTGAACTGCATCAAAAGAAGTTTAATGATAATTATTGGCTCATTCAACGATACAGTTCTTAATAGTTTCCTATAATATAGAATTAATTTCTTACATAAGACGTTATAACTGAAAGAAAGTTTCTAATATAAAAAATCAAAAATGAAAATATAAATGTTAATCATTAAAGTTTTGATCTATCTTTTCTTTTTATTTCTATTTTATTTATTTATAGGCCTATCCATAAAAACACTAATAGAAAAATAAAAATTAACCAATTGTAAAGTTTCTTAATTCATATCCTTCATTCGAAAAAAAGCGATAATTAATCAACAATTGTATAGAAAATAAAGGAAATAGAAAAATAGAAAATAAATTAAGGCGTTAAGTAATGTAATTTTAAATAATATATTGAATAGAAGATGATGCGGATGATGCGAGTTGGAGAGAACGGAAGCTTAGAACGAGAGAACTCGCTATTTTGTAAGGAATTGTATCCTTCAGCAAGTGAAACGAATCTTAATTTAAGAGTTTGTGTTTGAGAAGAAAGTAGTTCGACGATAAAAAGGCCATTACTCTGAAAATATCGGTTTACACGAAACTCCAAGGACAAGAGTGAGCATCCATTAAACGTAACCGGAATCTTCGTATTCAAGATCGAATTTTCAGATGTTCGACAATTTTCTTTGCCCTTGAAACATTTTCTTTCAGAAAAAAAAAAACAGTAATACAACATGATTATTAAATTATTATAACATTTTCATTTCATATTTCCAGTGGCTTCAACTGAAAAAAAATTGAAAAACATTATAAATTTTGATTAACTTTGCATTTGGTCCTAGCAATTTCTTTTATTAGGCCTACTAGTAATTTAGCATAGTTTTAAATCGACAATTCGTTTCGATGCACTTGAAAAGATCTTTTCTACTTTATAAGGAAAGAAAATGAACTTCATTCTCTTTTCTATCAAGAACTTAATTAGGTTATTCCTGTTTTGTTAAATGAATAAATTAATTCAGGTTTTCAACTTTCTTTAACGAAACTGCAGATTTTAAAACATTGTATTGAAAAAAACCACTTAAATATTTTATTTTTCTTATAATTTATTGATGAGCTAAATACTGATGATGCGATTTTCTTTAAAGATATAAAAAAATAATAATAAAGATAAAACTTATTAATATTTTAGAGTGCTAAAGTGGAATCTCTAAAGAGAGAGAGGAGGAATATTTTTAACGAACAAAATATTTACTTTACTGGCAGCTATGTTAATTTTTCTATGCCTTAATTATAATAAATAACTCGCATTTATCAACATAAAAGTGATATATATATATATATATATATAATACATATAAAATAAAATATATATATCTTTTTATTTGTGTCCATAATAGGACAAATAGCCCTTATTACTAAATAAAGATATTTGAATATTAATCTAAATAACGTTGAAATCAATAACAATTAAATTAAATTATAATTTGTTTGTAATATGTTATTTTAACTATAAAGAAAGTACTGTATTATTAAAAGGAAATCAACGACGACTATATCCATAAAACTATGGCAGATGGTAACGTCTCCGTATCAGCTCTTGTGTCTATCTTTTCTATAACTAAAGCAAATAACGATATTGAAAAATTCCACATCTCTGCCTATCAAAATCATTTTAAGATCGATCTAAAAGGAGTTTGTTTGTTTTTACGTTTCTCAAACTCACCCCTTTCGTCAAAAAGTATTTAAATAAACTTCTTTTCTTAGTACAGAATAGGATAATTATTACATTATTTTGTTAGATTACTCGAATCACGAGTTAAATGGATGTCACGCGAATCGTGTAACATTTTTAGAGACATTTTCGTGTAGGGTGTGATCTATATATTCCTAATCAGTGTAAAAAACTGGTCAAGAAGTAATTCTCTGTTTTTTTGGGGGGAGTGAAGTATAGATTTTAAAGTCCAACCTAGATGTTCACGAAGTACAAGGGCTTCACTCTGCTTAAAAACAGTACCAGGGTGATAGGCCTGTCCCTCATCACTCAGTAGCTCCATTGTAAGTCTGGTCGAACCCACAATGGACTTGGAAAATAGATCCTTTAGTGCTCACAGGATAAAAAGTAAATATATACACAAAATATTCAGCTTAAAATCGTCACGAAATTTTTATGAATAGAAATGAGTGGGCGAAGCTAGCAGGGAGTTGTGCAGTCTATGATATAAAGTCCCCCCAGTATATATATATATATTAGTCATATAAATATCAACATCTTTAAGATATATAACCAAATAATAAATTGTAGTTTAGTTTTAGTAATTAAAAAATGTACGATAATCAAATATATTAAATAAATCATAAATAAAAATAAAGAAAAAAAGGAGAAAAATAAAGAAAAATATGGTGGAAATTTCAAGTAAAAAAAATGTGAAAGAAAATTATAAATTAACTTTTTTGTGCGACGTTAACGATTTTAAGTTGCAGAAAAATTATATTTTAAAAAATCTTTTTAGCACGAACTCTAATAAAAAATTAAATAAAATAAGAGAAAAAAAAATAGCTCGAAGTTTCATTACTTCTTACTTTTAAACTTAAAAATAGCATTTTATTGGTTTTCTTCTCAATCAAATTTTAGTTTTCGAATCGCTATTTTAACCTTCAAATATTATACAAATTCGAATAGAAGAAGAAAAAAGTATTAAAAAGTAATTAAAATATAGATTAAATGTAATATATTTGATAATTTAAAATAATTATTTAAAAAAGAAATTAGATATTCATTCTTCGAAATGCAGCAAAAGAAAGTTATTCTCATTTTATGGCTTCACAGCCTTATAACGTGTTACTTCCGTCAATTAATTGTAGTATATTTATGTGTTCATTAAATGTAATTGAAGAGGAATTAACGTAAAAAGTAGATTTGTAATGTAAACTGAAAAGCAGCAGTAATTTACTTGTATTTACTATAAAAAATTCATTGCATCGATATAGAAAAACTTATTTGAAAAAAAACAAATAAATAGCAAATGTTCTTTTTTTGTTTAATATATTCATTCAATGGAGTCTACTAATTCTAATTACTGTAGAGAGTATAATATAGTTCGACTAGTGAAAGGGTCGAGTTTAAGCGAGAAACATTAAATTACTAGAATAAGAATAGAAAGATTACCTGTAAATACTTCGCTAAATAAAAGACGAAATTATATACTGTATATTAATATATAATTTAGATATACGAAACTTTTTAAATTCTAATAATTATCCTAGTAAATTCAACTATTAATATTTTGAAGTTTCATCGTTTATTTAGAGCAGAGAAGATAAGAAAAGTTACTTAAAGTATCCAAGATATCGCTAGTTAAACTACAATTCCCAGAACGATTTATCTAAAATTAAAATGGAAAGGAATTTCTCACCTTCTTAAAGACTTCTCGTTACGGTTATTTTCTACTGTCGATATAGTCGAAGTAAAATCGCACGTAACATTTATCCTCATTTTATGATAGAAAATAATATCAGTGTTCCGTGTTACGTAACGAAATATCTATGTATATTTACTTAAATTTGTGTACATGCATCAGCCCTCTATTTAATATATATTAATCCCTTATGATTTATACATAATATTTATCCACTTTATCTATTTATTTATCCATTTTATCTATTTATTATACATATTTATCTATCCGTTTATGATTTATACATAATATTTTTTATTATGTATAAATCATAAATTATTGCGCATTTTTATATCTAACAGGTCGTTTAAACATTCCATAATTTGCATACCTTTACCCATATCCCAAACGAACACTATCGTTCTACTTTCACACGAGAAAAATCATTCAACAAATACAATGCATACTGTACTGTACACTACATTTTAAATAATGCTTAATAAAATGAAAAATTACAAAATAATTTAGTACAGAAGTCGATCGGATTACAGAACAATCGGAGTTCCCGTCGCCCTTGTCGTTTTTTAATTACCTCACGCTCTCCATTAAGACCAAATATGCTGTTACGCAGCCTGTTACGTAGTCTCATCTGTGACGTGGAAGACAGTCGAATGTTGGTCCGGATTCCGGAGGTGGAGATCGAGAGAGTGCGAAGAGAAGAGAAGGGGATCCGTCGTCCGTCGACCCGGATACAAGGGAGGGTCGCACGCTATTTTTATCCACGTGCGCCTCCCCCTCAAGTGTTTATGCCACTTTATTCCCCGAGGAATCCGCAAGTCGGGTGTGTCGAAACTGTCGAAAATCTCCTCAACTCCGCCACCAATCCCAAATTGGGAGAGAAATGTCCGTCAAATGCCTTATTTTCTCTCGTTACTCGAAATTTCCCTGTGTTCATTGTCGAGGAACACGGGAAAACCAAACCGTGGGTACTTAAAGAGTAAATAATTTTCTGCTTTGATCCATTTAAGGAAAGTGAATTTTTAAGTGTTCAGACGAGTCGATCTGTAAATATTTTCGAGCGTACAACGAAACGTTTGTTCTAGATCGGCGGAGTGACCTTTACCCCTTTCTCTAATAAATTCGCCTTCCGTTTCGGGAAGCGTGTTTTTACTACGGTCCACCCGCTAAATTAGAGTCAAGAACGATTCTCGGATCTTTATCGCTAGAGATTAATGCGTCACTTCACTTACCTTAACAAAGATTCCACTCGAAAGCTTAATTTGTAAACAGATAAAGGGTCAAGTAGCGAATGACGTAACCTTAATTATGAAAAAAAAGGAATCTCGAACGGAAATACCTTTAAAACGCGCCGACGATTTGGATAAATTCCAAAAAACTTTCGGGTTATTTATTTGTTTTAGTCGCGCCAAACTTTACGAAGTTTTAAACGTCGTAACAAGCGAGGAAAAAAAAAGGAACACGTAATTCTCGTGAAAACGTTCTCTCGTTTATTACGCGCTTAGTTTGGTTTGGCTTACGCGTAAAAAGGTAGAAAATACTCACACGGTGATGATGGACTTGGGATTCTTATCACTAGGTAAGGCGGGGATGGAGTCCAGTCGGTCCTCGTATTTACATTCAAGATGCATTTCATTGCACCAACAGACGGATTGAGTGGAATTACATATGTCAGTTTTCCCGCTAGCGGAAAGGCGAATGACTGACAGACAAATACAGAAATAGAAAAGGCGAACGGGTGGACGGAAGAGCGTGATTTCGGACGTTCGTCCGGGCGAACGACGTCTCGACATATTCTGAAGGTGCCGTCTCCGCCAACACAAGAGCGCGACGGCTGTCGGTCACGTGGCCCGCGATGGAGGAGGAGGATGAGGAGGAGGAGAAGAACGGAGAAGATCCGAGCGACGAGTCGCCTTTCCTCTCTTACGTCGCTCCATTTACTCCTTCCTCCGTCGATCGTTTCGCCCTCTGGCGTACCGCTTCTAAAACACTTCTTTCTCTTTATCGTCATCTGGTTTTAAACGAAATTAAATTTTAAATAGACTAATAATTAATAGGTAATAAGACTCATTTCTTAAACTTTAGAAAATTGTATAATATTTTACAATATAAAATTTAATATTTTAATTTAGGATAGCAATTATATTTTCGTAATTTATATTTCTCGTGTCGATAATTAATATCAGTAGTTAAGATGACAGTTATAAGCGTAACAGAATTTATTTACGACGGAGCGTAATTTGACAGAATGTCAGTAAATCTCTAAATTCGAAACGAATCGATATTCTTTATCATGGAATAATTACGTGAAAACTCTTAAAAATTGCTTCGTTTTCTTCTTTACATTCGAATGTCAACTGTAAAAAAATCATTTATAATTAACGATGTAATTAAATATTTCTTGTAAAGTAAATTCTAATAGTTTTTCTTAAATAATGCTCTAATCTCGCTATTCTTTTACAAGTTTTAAATTCGATCTCTTAATAATAAGCGGTTGATCAACATCACCCGCGAAACAATACGATTCTAACGAACGTCCACAGAAAACTTGGAGCCAATGAGATTATTTTAAGTTGTTTCTCTAAATAAACCATCGATGAAAGGTTCAGTAACGATGAAAAATTAAACACGTGAAATAAATAAATAGATAAACGTCTAAAACATAAAATATAATGGATTAAAGAATTTGGACAGATACAATTGCTTATAATTGAAGGATAATTTACGTATTCAGCTGTATTCGCAGAATGTACAAGAATTATTTCAAGCATTTTATATATTTAAAATACAACTCTTTTTTTTAAAAGATCAAAGAATCTTTCTCCGTAATTTCATGCACATATTTTGTTATTAATAATAATGAAAGAAGAAAGTATATATGTTTATGCAAATAACGTATCGAATTATCCGATAATTTGAATGTATAAATTAATAATTTTACGAATATTTATTTAATTAGTTCGAAAAAAAACCGTGATATCTGCAGCTAGCAAATATTTGATTGTAATAGTAAATTAACGTGGATAGTCATTTAAAACAAAGAGTTTCGGGATAGAAAGGCATTAAGAAGGTAATGTTGCGTTGGAAGTTAACTCGTCGCATCACACCATTTCGTCATTAATGGAATCGTCGTCTTTTTTTGCTTGGATAATTCTTTCTAACTTTAGAAAATCGCTTCCGATTCCGCAAACTTTTCCTTTTTAACAATATATCGAGAATTTATCGGATGATCGCTTTGACGAAACGACGTCATTTCACTCTTCCGTATTTTTATTGTTCGAGAAATAATTAATGTTTAGATATTTTAAATCGATTATTTGCCTTCGACTTTTAATTACTTCAATTTTTATTTATTTTAGGATTAAATTCATAATTAACGGCTAACGTAAGACGAATTTTGCTATTTCTAACGACGTCATTTCGTTGTTAATTACAGTAACTTCTAGATATTTTCTCTAATTTAACCTCTCAAATTAATAATTTTACAAGCTTAGAAAATTAACTGTTCTGCATAGTGTAGCAGAGACTACACTATTTCCAAGGTGTATAAAAAAAAGGACACTTTTAACGTATTATTATAAATTTTTCTACGTTTGTGCCTATTGATCTGGCCGTTTTGTCATATATTTTACTAATAATTTTAATTTTTTTAAGTCAGTCACTTAACTTTATCTAAGGTAGGGACTATTTAGGAAAATATAAAGAGATAAACTTCTTCCTTTTATAATGTAGTCAGTTGTATATGAAATGAAAGAAATTCTATTTTTTTCTGCTTAGAAAAAAATATATAAAGTCTGTAGATAGAGAACGTTCTTTAAGAACTGATTCTGACAGTTTTATATAATGTTTCGCGTGGATTTTCCTACCTCGTCAATAGTTCTATGAAGACAATTAAACTTTCATAAAGATTCTGTTCTTTTACTTTTATTTCAGTTTAATTAACCAATCTACAAGTAAATTCAAACGACAAAATATTAAACTAAAAATAGAAAAAATTGATTTTTATTATGTTATGTAATATGAAAAAACAGATTAAATGTCTTGCTTATATTCTTTATTTTAATAAAAATAAGTAAAGATTTAGGCTAAATTTCTACATTTAGAAACAATAGTAAATACATTTCTCAATAAACTTACATATCAAAAAAGGTATTTTATTGTCGAAGTGTTATACTTTACAAAAGGAAAAAAAAATAAAGAGAAAATTTAATTTTTTATAATTTAAAATTCTAAAAATGATAAAGTTTTTCATTTAAATCTCAAATATTATTTAAATTTACTTTTAATGTTTCGTTCAAAATACTGGAGTTTTTGAAAGATTCGAATACAATTCTAATATTGCTTTTTATACCGTAACTAGCGTAGATTTTTATTCTTATTGTAAAAAGTATTTGTATAGTATTTAAGTGCTATATTTGGGGTTATATACAGTATATAGTAGTCTATTATTTAATTAAAACTACTTCAAGAAACATAACTTCAGTTTATTATATTAACCTTAACATAAATCGATATCCTCGTCTTATAGCGACCTTGTTAATAACAATTTCCTAGGAAACAGGTAAAAAAATAAAAATCTACAGTATTTTATACTGTATAGTTCATCGAAATGTTTATCATACACATTCGATGTATATTTTTATTGCAGTAAAATATGTTGTTCTACCAGTGGATGAGTATACAATACAGTAAATTACAAAATCTCTAACCACTAGCAGTCCCGCATGAAGTTTTCTGGCTATCTCCTTGTATCTATTGCCTAAATAGGAAGATCCAAACTTTTCATAGAGTTCCCCCAGAGGTTCTGTACAGTACATCCTTCGGCACATCCGTTCGTTCTCTTTTCTCATTAAACTAAGTATAGACTTTTCTTTACCTTTTATACATTCTTTACTTCACAACTGGATGCATAGGTAGGCACTAAGCATCTTTAACATCACTCTTTATTCAAGAATATCTTAAACTCCGATACTCGTTTCGTGCATACGCTCCTCTTCTGTCGTTCACATAATAGAATATGAATATGTATTTTCCATATTACAAAATTTTTTATATAAAACTCTCTTTAAATTTTCTATTGTATCAATTTTTTCTTTCTGTAAAATCCTTACTTTTTCTTTGTTAATATTGCAATTATTAAATATAATGGTAAATCGTTCGAGGAAAAGGGAGAGTTATTGTTTCACTAACGTTATTCCTTATCTCATATATCGATTTGTGTTTTTTAGGCTTTAGTATATAGCTATTAGATGATAAATATGATTAAAAACAGCAACTTTCGATTGCATATTTGCTCGTTTGACGTGTGAGGAGGAAATGCCTAAGAGAACGAAATGTAAATTAATAAGATGCTTTATCAAACATATTTTTGTAAGAGCATTACAATATAATATTCTCGACAAGAATATTCACACATTCTTTTGCTTTTCTCTACATTATTTACTACTACATTATATTTATCTACATTTATTACATCTACTGTTAGTTTTATTGTCCAATGTATGAGTTTCAATAAAGCTACACTTTCAAGAAATAATCTTATAACAGAGATTTCGTTTCTCTACAGAATATATCGGATTTAAAAAAAGTTTTAAAAGAATCTCTTAATCATTTTTGACAAGTAAAAAATATGTCGTAATTCTTTTAGTAAAAATAATTATATCACGTGAAATTTAAATACAAAATCTGATTTTATCGTAATTTTTAAATTGAAATTCTAAAATTATATGAAATATATAAAGGAATTCCTTAAATATATATATTATATATTTTATATGTATATATTGCTTTGCTAGGAGTTATATATAGCACTTCAAATGCATTGTTTCAGTGCTAGAAAGGTTTAAAGTTTAGACTAGCTACCCTTTAAATACTGCGAAATAATCTCAATCTTGCTGCCCTTCAGCATCTTACCTTCAGAACCTTTAGTTTTTTGCAAGAACGTAAGGTTCTTTTACATTTTTTTTGACAGTTTAGTAAAGCATAAAAGTTAGAGATTAGCGTATTTAATGCTTTTTCGCAATGCTAACACTGTTACAAAACAGAATCTTAAGTGGTAGCTAGCCTGACCTTTAACTCCTTTTAGAGCTGAAACAATGAGTTCGAAGGATGTGTTTATATGACATTTTTTAATATACTAGAATTTGATGTAAAAATATTGTCATATACATGTCAATACTGTATTCTATACTTTTTAAATAAATAATTGAGAAATGTGGCACAGAATTTTATGAGATATACCGAAATTTAGACTTATTCTAAATTTTTCAATTGAATTAGTACTTTTAGAAGTGGATTTATTGGAGAATAAAATAAAAATAGCATATTACTATAATGCGGAAAATAACATGAAAGGAGAGAAAAATTCAAAATTCTACATCTTGAAATTTTTCAACTGAAACAGTTTTAATGGAAAACTTACAGAAAATCCGAAAGGTGTTTTAAAATTTACGAAAGAATTTGTTACTTTCTACTCAAAGTATTAGGAATTATATCTTAGTATTATATGATATAGTAAGGCTATTAGTGTAATAGTACAGTGGGTGATCGGTTAACGAACAAAATCCGTTCCAAGACTTTGTTCGTTATCCGAATTGTTCGTTAACCGATTATCGATTTACCATAGGTTTTTATGGGAATTTGATTAAATCGTTCCGGAGACTCCTAAAAATAAAAAAAATATATTTTTTTATTACGTTTATTTACAGTAGGCCCCTATAACGTGGGTTCCTATAACGGAAATTCCTATAACGTAGCGAAANTAATAATAAAAATACATACATACAGTCTTGCACTTTTATTAGTCATGTTTTTTCCGTTTTGGGGGGTTAAAGAATCTGTCGATTGCTTTTCTCTCTACTTCAGAATTTTTCAGAAATAATTAATAGCATTGTAATTGTAGAGATCCCCAAGCCTATTAACGTTTATTTATATGTAATAGTA